ACAGTTTTTATTTTTTGCGCTTACGGGCTAGTCCCTTAAAATACTGTTTATAATCTAAAATACTGTTTTCTAACTTTTTAAGTTCACTTCTGTGTTTTCTGACGCGCAGGCCATGTTGGGAAAAGGGACAGATCATTTGAGACATCGTTAATAATAAATAGAAATAATTAATTTCAAACTTTTACTTACATTTCATACTGGGAAAGCCAATTACAGTCTCAATGGACCTGTCCAACGATTTTTTCGCCTACCTATTTTGAGTTTGCTGTGCAGTTGTCCTTCTGTAATATGTAGGGTTTTTTTTTTTCGAGTGCAATTTGTTGTTTTAACATAGATTTGAACATTTGCATAACATGTAATCTCTAGAATAGGATTCTCCAAATGTTCCTTACAGTTTTTTCATCAACTCGATCATAATATATACATACAAATATGTATATATTATGATAAGAAAAGTTGTGAGAGCGAAAATTACAACATATGCATATTCAGTAGTTTTCACAAGTTCGAATAAAAATAGATAGATAGATAGATAGATAGAGACAGACACATAGATAGACAGAGTTAGACAGATAGATAGATAGAGTTAGATAGACAGACAGATAGATAGATAGTTAGACAGATAGATAGATAGACAGACAGATAGATAGGTAGATAGAGTTAGATAGACAGACAGACAGACAGATAGATAGATAGAGTTAGATAGATAAACAGACAGACAGACAGACAGATAGATAGATAGATAGACAGACAGACACAGATAGATAGATAGATAGATAGAGAGAGAGAGAGAGCATGTATATAGATGTGTTTTTTGTGTTTGATTAAATTTCTATTGAAATATTTATTGATTTATTGCATGTGTGAAATCCCGAAAATCTGTGATAGTAGCCTTACATATCACATATGCGTTTCCCTCCTTCTAACAATGTCCTTCTAACAATTAATGTAACTCCAATAATACTAACAATTAATGTAACAATTAATTTAACTCCAATAATACTAACAATTAATGTAACTCCTTCTAACAATTAATGTGTTCATATAGATGTGTGTGTATTCAATTTAATTTCTATTTAAATATTTATTGAATGAGTGCAAGTGCAGCTATGAAATCCCGAGTATGTGCTGTGAAAGTAGCCTTACATTTTACATACGTGTTTCCCTCCCTGTTACATGTTCTTTATATGTATATTTCTACTTTATTTATGTTCTTTTAATTTCAAAATTATAATGTGTGTAGCATGTGTTTATATAGATGTGTGTATATTCAGTTAAATTCCTATTTAAGTATTTATTGAATTTGTGCATTTGTGTCTCCCTCCCTGTAACATGCTTGTTTTCAGTTTTATTTATTTGTGTTCATTTACATTCAACTTTATTTTATGCCTTCGTGGAGGACTTCTCACATAAAATACAAAAATGACTTGAAAAAACTGGTCCGTATTTACGTGACACATGAGGGAAACCACGAAAACCCCATGCAACCAGTCTGTTCAATCATTATGCATAAATTTATAGCATAAAAACAAAAACTCAAAACTAAAAGTTTCGCGTTAAACAAGAAAGCATGCAATTTTTTAAAACATATTAAGCAATAAAATAATAAGCGATCAAAGCAAGTCTGACGCTTGTCAAGTTCACATAAAATATACAATCAATTAAAAAAAAACACTCAAAACTTTAAAAGTTTCGCGTTAAACAAGAAAAGCATATTAAGCACTAAAATAATAAGCGATCAAAGCAAGTCTGACGCTTGTCAAGTTCACATAAAAATGTACAATCAATTAAAAAAATACGCTGATAACTAAATTAGTTAAGCGTCAAAATATACATATATACAAGAAATTACACATGAAAACACTTTAAAAAAATTACATACTAAATTACAAAAAAATTTACAATCGGGTGGAAGTTGCGGTTGCTGATCGGTAACACTTCCCCAATGTCTTAAACAGAAAAAAGAGAAGTGAAACTATTGCCGCCGAACTTGCCAGCGCAGCACTCATCGCGTCCACCACCTCTTGACCACGGTCTTGCTTCACATGGTCTTTCAACAATGGGAAGAGGAGAGCCAGAATTCCCCGGATACATTTGATCCAAGCGAAAGCTTTGGGGATAGAACCTACGTTCTCGCCGATAACGACGGGTGTCAGAACTCCCCAAATCCCATTGCCGATAGCCATTAGACACAAAACGACCAGATAGTGAGCCACTGTCTCGCAACCTACGCCCAGCATTAAAATAGCGCCACCAACATTGGCCAAGGACGATAGGAAGTATTCCAAGTTCCTTGGAATCCGAGACTGCCCACTAAACAAGCCGTATGTGAATCGAACAAACACCGTCATCAAGAAGCAGTACGTATGTCCTATCGGGAACTCGTGTTCCTTCAGGCCATTCTCAAAAATGGACTTCAAGCCTGCACTGCCAAATCCGTGAGAAGCAATAGCCACCAACATCAACCACAACTCCCATTTCTTCAGGAGCGTCAACCCTGTTGAGTCCCTGATATTATGCCATAATTTCAAGGAGCTTGAAATTGGAACCTCGGGAATAGGAACAACCATTGCTGGCCTTTCTTCTTCCGTAGGATTCTTAATTTCCACTTCCTCGGAAATTTCGACAAAATAAAATTCGGGCCTCTCGAACGCAGCAGCAGCCAAACAGGTGGGCACATTCAAAACACATAAAACAAAAAATACCATGCGCCACCCGTACTCACCTAAAAGAAAATCGATTAAAAAAGGAAGCACAAATGCCCCCGTACACTCTCCGCACATATACAAGGCAAAAGCTAAAGGCTTGCGGGAGGTAAACAAAGCTGCAATTTGGGAGAGCAAACTTGCAACTATTAAACTGGAACCAATCCCGACCACAACTCCGTAACTGAAAACTAGGAAGCCAGCACATTTAGCAAAAGAACTTAAACCTAGTCCAATTACAGAAAAAAGTCCTCCTAGAAAAAGACTCAAACGAGGACCACATTTCAGTACCACAAGAGTAGCTATGGGGGAAAGCAAAAGACTCAAGTTGCTGACCAAAGATGGAAATTGGCCAAGGGTACTTGTCGAAGTGTCTGGAAACTCCTCCGTAATTGCAGCCTTTATTGGGCCAAAGCACGGAGGAAGCCCCGAAACTACAACCGACAGGAGGTAGGCTATAAACACAAATAGCCATGCTCGGTTTCCGTCCGGGGGCACTTCTCTCTTCACCATTCTAGTAGCACGTGGGGGTACGTCTACAGCGTGGTCGGGAGACTCACCTGTAACTGAAGACATATTAGCAGACATAATAGGCAAGAAAGTATTGAAAAAATACTTACTACAATACTTAGCAACACCGCAGGAGCGACGTCAATCAGCAGCCAACACGCAGGAAGATCCAAAAAGGAATAAAGATGGTTGTTGGGAGGCGTAATAGCTGCTCCCCTGGGATTTCCTTGGTATGTGGTGGCGCCACCTAGTGTCAAAAAACGGAACTATACTATTTTCATTCCTTTTTTTTTCTCAGAAAGAAACTGCATTCATTTACTTCTTTTTTCCACTCTGTTTGCATCTGAAAGAAACCCTGAACAGATAAGGGACACTGTGTTCATTCTTTACTTCTGCGTGACGCACATAAAAGCTGCATTGAAATGCGCTTCGTTACTGGCGTTTGGTACCGAATTCACGCCCTTTTTTTTGACTCTTTTCGAACCTGTTATGAATTCATTTCCATGCCATTGTCAATTCTAATGATTTCCTCATCCTCTGTCGACCCTGCGTACTTGTTTCCTTGTGTGTTTTGAATGAATTGTCGTTCAGTTCTGCGCGTCAAACTCATTTCCTCCCTGTACATTCGATATTCTGTGAACAATTCTATTTTCTTTTCACTTCCACATGACATGTAGATCGAAGTAGTTAACTAAAAAAGAGAGGGACACTGCATTCTACCACTCTTTCATTTCCTCCTGTACATTCAATACTCTGTGAAGAAGACCAAACGTCAGTTTAAGAAAGTTTTCCATGTATGATCACGAACTGTTGATTAAAACTGACCTCAACAGTTTAGGTTCATTTATTTACTAGATTTTGCACTGAATAAATATTAATTTCTATGCCTCTGTTCCTGTACTTCCACTTATCTTATCTTTATTTACTTCTCTTATTTTGTGAGGCTACTTCCCCCCCCCCCACACACACACACATTTTCTTCTGCAAAAGAGAATTTTTCGCCTTCTGTTTTTACATGTTCTTGTACGCGTTTTACTCATCGCTGAGATTCCTGTTATTTATTCCCATGTCCGTATTTTGATTAATTAAAGATTTCATTTTATTTTATTGGGTGTCTAGCCATTAATAAGACCTCACAATTTCTTAATCCCGTTTCTGTTTCTTTCTTTCTTTATTAAGATGTTCTTAAATAAGCAATTCATTTCCTTTTTTCGTTTAGGTAATACTGCGGCTACCTGCATGAGGGACGGACGTCTGTTATGCATGTTACAAATTCATGAAACCAATATTCAGCGATCCGACCGCTGCGCCGCCAGTTTCCCTGTAAGATTTCTTTTTATTTAATTAAAATTTTCGTAACATACATGAATGAATTCCATCGGATATTTTTTAGGATAATTCATTTCGGTTCATATTTTTTTTTTTAATTTAAATTTTCGTTACATACCTGATTAGGTTTCATCACAGTTTTTTGCTTATAATTTATTTGTGTACGAATTTTTGTTTAACACCTAACACTTCTTTTGAGTATCATTTTCTTTTTCATAACTAACAGTTCATTACAGTAATATTTTTATGTATGTATATTTTTACTTACTTTATTTTAAATACATACATATTTCAAATTCCTTTTTCATTTCAATGGCGCTTCCACGTGACTGTTTTTTAATTCTGGTAGCCCTCCTAAGGCTACTTCGTTACTTTCTGGCAACCTTTTAACACGTTTTCGCTCAATTTAATTTTGGAAACCAAACGTGTAAGGACGCAGGTATGTGGCTCTTTTGTTCATTCATTTTCATCACGAATGCTCAGCTTTTTGGTCTTTACGGGACCCCTCATTCTCTTCATTTTTTTTTATTTTTTTTTAAAAATAGAATACAGTTTTTATTTTTTGCGCTTACGGGCTAGTCCCTTAAAATACTGTTTATAATCTAAAATACTGTTTTCTAACTTTTTAAGTTCACTTCTGTGTTTTCTGACGCGCAGGCCATGTTGGGAAAAGGGACAGATCATTTGAGACATCGTTAATAATAAATAGAAATAATTAATTTCAAACTTTTACTTACATTTCATACTGGGAAAGCCAATTACAGTCTCAATGGACCTGTCCAACGATTTTTTCGCCTACCTATTTTGAGTTTGCTGTGCAGTTGTCCTTCTGTAATATGTAGGGTTTTTTTTTTTCGAGTGCAATTTGTTTGTTTTAACATAGATTGAACATTGCATAACATGTAATCTCTAGAATAGGATTCTCCAAATGTTCCTTACAGTTTTTTCATCAACTCGATCATAATATATACATACAAATATGTATATATTATGATAAGAAAAGTTGTGAGAGCGAAAATTACAACATATGCATATTCAGTAGTTTTCACAAGTTCGAATAAAAATAGATAGATAGATAGATAGATAGAGAGACAGACACATAGATAGACAGAGTTAGACAGATAGATAGATAGAGATTAGATAGACAGACAGATAGATAGATAGATTAGACAGATAGATAGATAGACAGACAGATAGATAGGTAGATAGAGTTAGATAGACAGACAGATAGATAGATAGAGTTAGATAGATAAACAGACAGACAGACAGATAGATAGATAGATAGATAGACAGACAGACAGACACAGATAGATAGATAGATAGAGTAGAGAGTGAGAGAGAGAGAGCATGTATATAGATGTGTTTTTTGTGTTTGATTAAATTTCTATTGAAATATTTATTGATTTATTGCATGTGTGAAATCCCGAAAATCTGTGATAGTAGCCTTACATATCACATATGCGTTTCCCTCCTTCTAACAATGTCCTTCTAACAATTAATGTAACTCCAATAATACTAACAATTAATGTAACAATTAATTTAACTCCAATAATACTAACAATTAATGTAACTCCTTCTAACAATTAATGTGTTCATATAGATGTGTGTGTATTCAATTTAATTTCTATTTAAATATTTATTGAATGAGTGCAAGTGCAGCTATGAAATCCCGAGTATGTGCTGTGAAAGTAGCCTTACATTTTACATACGTGTTTCCCTCCCTGTTACATGTTCTTTATATGTATATTTCTACTTTATTTATGTTCTTTTAATTTCAAAATTATAATGTGTGTAGCATGTGTTTATATAGATGTGTGTATATTCAGTTAAATTCCTATTTAAGTATTTATTGAATTTGTGCATTTGTGTCTCCCTCCCTGTAACATGCTTGTTTTCAGTTTTATTTATTTGTGTTCATTTACATTCAACTTTATTTTATGCCTTCGTGGAGGACTTCTCACATAAAATACAAAAATGACTTGAAAAAACTGGTCCGTATTTACGTGACACATGAGGGAAACCACGAAAACCCCATGCAACCAGTCTGTTCAATCATTATGCATAAATTTATAGCATAAAAACAAAAACTCAAAACTAAAAGTTTCGCGTTAAACAAGAAAGCATGCAATTTTTTAAAACATATTAAGCAATAAAATAATAAGCGATCAAAGCAAGTCTGACGCTTGTCAAGTTCACATAAAATATACAATCAATTAAAAAAAAAACACTCAAAACTTTAAAAGTTTCGCGTTAAACAAGAAAGCATATTAAGCACTAAAATAATAAGCGATCAAAGCAAGTCTGACGCTTGTCAAGTTCACATAAAAATGTACAATCAATTAAAAAAATACGCTGATAACTAAATTAGTTAAGCGTCAAAATATACATATATACAAGAAATTACACATGAAAACACACTTTAAAAAAATTACATACTAAATTACAAAAAAATTTACAATCGGGTGGAAGTTGCGGTTGCTGATCGGTAACACTTCCCCAATGTCTTAAACAGAAAAAAGAGAAGTGAAGTGAAACTATTGCCGCCGAACTTGCCAGCGCAGCACTCATCGCGTCCACCACCTCTTGACCACGGTCTTGCTTCACATGGTCTTTCAACAATGGGAAGAGGAGAGCCAGAATTCCCCGGATACATTTGATCCAAGCGAAAGCTTTGGGGATAGAACCTACGTTCTCGCCGATAACGACGGGTGTCAGAACTCCCCAAATCCCATTGCCGATAGCCATTAGACACAAAACGACCAGATAGTGAGCCACTGTCTCGCAACCTACGCCCAGCATTAAAATAGCGCCACCAACATTGGCCAAGGACGATAGGAAGTATTCCAAGTTCCTTGGAATCCGAGACTGCCCACTAAACAAGCCGTATGTGAATCGAACAAACACCGTCATCAAGAAGCAGTACGTATGTCCTATCGGGAACTCGTGTTCCTTCAGGCCATTCTCAAAAATGGACTTCAAGCCTGCACTGCCAAATCCGTGAGAAGCAATAGCCACCAACATCAACCACAACTCCCATTTCTTCAGGAGCGTCAACCCTGTTGAGTCCCTGATATTATGCCATAATTTCAAGGAGCTTGAAATTGGAACCTCGGGAATAGGAACAACCATTGCTGGCCTTTCTTCTTCCGTAGGATTCTTAATTTCCACTTCCTCGGAAATTTCGACAAAATAAAATTCGGGCCTCTCGAACGCAGCAGCAGCCAAACAGGTGGGCACATTCAAAACACATAAAACAAAAAATACCATGCGCCACCCGTACTCACCTAAAAGAAAATCGATTAAAAAAGGAAGCACAAATGCCCCCGTACACTCTCCGCACATATACAAGGCAAAAGCTAAAGGCTTGCGGGAGGTAAACAAAGCTGCAATTTGGGAGAGCAAACTTGCAACTATTAAACTGGAACCAATCCCGACCACAACTCCGTAACTGAAAACTAGGAAGCCAGCACATTTAGCAAAAGAACTTAAACCTAGTCCAATTACAGAAAAAAGTCCTCCTAGAAAAAGACTCAAACGAGGACCACATTTCAGTACCACAAGAGTAGCTATGGGGGAAAGCAAAAGACTCAAGTTGCTGACCAAAGATGGAAATTGGCCAAGGGTACTTGTCGAAGTGTCTGGAAACTCCTCCGTAATTGCAGCCTTTATTGGGCCAAAGCACGGAGGAAGCCCCGAAACTACAACCGACAGGAGGTAGGCTATAAACACAAATAGCCATGCTCGGTTTCCGTCCGGGGGCACTTCTCTCTTCACCATTCTAGTAGCACGTGGGGGTACGTCTACAGCGTGGTCGGGAGACTCACCTGTAACTGAAGACATATTAGCAGACATAATAGGCAAGAAAGTATTGAAAAAATACTTACTACAATACTTACTAACAGCAACACCGCAGGAGCGACGTCAATCAGCAGCCAACACGCAGGAAGATCCAAAAAGGAATAAAGATGGTTGTTGGGAGGCGTAATAGCTGCTCCCCTGGGATTTCCTTGGTATGTGGTGGCGCCACCTAGTGTCAAAAACGGAACTATACTATTTTCATTCCTTTTTTTTTCTCAGAAAGAAACTGCATTCATTTACTTCTTTTTTCCACTCTGTTTGCATCTGAAAGAAACCCTGAACAGATAAGGGACACTGTGTTCATTCTTTACTTCTGCGTGACGCACATAAAAGCTGCATTGAAATGCGCTTCGTTACTGGCGTTTGGTACCGAATTCACGCCCTTTTTTTTGACTCTTTTCGAACCTGTTATGAATTCATTTCCATGCCATTGTCAATTCTAATGATTTCCTCATCCTCTGTCGACCCTGCGTACTTGTTTCCTTGTGTGTTTTGAATGAATTGTCGTTCAGTTCTGCGCGTCAAACTCATTTCCTCCCTGTACATTCGATATTCTGTGAACAATTCTATTTTCTTTTCACTTCCACATGACATGTAGATCGAAGTAGTTAACTAAAAAAGAGAGGGACACTGCATTCTACCACTCTTTCATTTCCTCCCTGTACATTCAATACTCTGTGAAGAAGACCAAACGTCAGTTTAAGAAAGTTTTCCATGTATGATCACGAACTGTTGATTAAAACTGACCTCAACAGTTTAGGTTCATTTATTTACTAGATTTTGCACTGAATAAATATTAATTTCTATGCCTCTGTTCCTGTACTTCCACTTATCTTATCTTTATTTACTTCTCTTATTTTGTGAGGCTACTTCCCCCCCCCCCACACACACACACATTTTCTTCTGCAAAAGAGAATTTTTCGCCTTCTGTTTTCACATGTTCTTGTACGCGTTTTACTCATCGCTGAGATTCCTGTTATTTATTCCCATGTCCGTATTTTGATTAATTAAAGATTTCATTTTATTTTATTGGGTGTCTAGCCATTAATAAGACCTCACAATTTCTTAATCCCGTTTCTGTTTCTTTCTTTCTTTCTTTATTAAGATGTTCTTAAATAAGCAATTCATTTCCTTTTTTCGTTTAGGTAATACTGCGGCTACCTGCATGAGGGACGGACGTCTGTTATGCATGTTACAAATTCATGAAACCAATATTCAGCGATCCGACCGCTGCGCCGCCAGTTTCCCTGTAAGATTTCTTTTTATTTAATTAAAATTTTCGTAACATACATGAATGAATTCCATCGGATATTTTTTAGGATAATTCATTTCGGTTCATATTTTTTTTTTTAATTTAAATTTTCGTTACATACCTGATTAGGTTTCATCACAGTTTTTTGCTTATAATTTATTTGTGTACGAATTTTTGTTTAACACCTAACACTTCTTTTGAGTATCATTTTCTTTTTCATAACTAACAGTTCATTACAGTAATATTTTTATGTATGTATATTTTTACTTACTTTATTTTAAATACATACATATTTCAAATTCCTTTTTCATTTCAATGGCGCTTCCACGTGACTGTTTTTTAATTCTGGTAGCCCTCCTAAGGCTACTTCGTTACTTTCTGGCAACCTTTTAACACGTTTTCGCTCAATTTAATTTTGGAAACCAAACGTGTAAGGACGCAGGTATGTGGCTCTTTTGTTCATTCATTTTCATCACGAATGCTCAGCTTTTTGGTCTTTACGGGACCCCTCATTCTCTTCATTTTTTTTTATTTTTTTTTAAAATAGAATACAGTTTTTATTTTTTGCGCTTACGGGCTAGTCCCTTAAAATACTGTTTATAATCTAAAATACTGTTTTCTAACTTTTTAAGTTCACTTCTGTGTTTTCTGACGCGCAGGCCATGTTGGGAAAAGGGACAGATCATTTGAGACATCGTTAATAATAAATAGAAATAATTAATTTCAAACTTTTACTTACATTTCATACTGGGAAAGCCAATTACAGTCTCAATGGACCTGTCCAACGATTTTTTTCGCCTACCTATTTTGAGTTTGCTGTGCAGTTGTCCTTCTGTAATATGTAGGGTTTTTTTTTTTCGAGTGCAATTTGTTGTTTTAACATAGATTGAACATTGCATAACATGTAATCTCTAGAATAGGATTCTCCAAATGTTCCTTACAGTTTTTTCATCAACTCGATCATAATATATACATACAAATATGTATATATTATGATAAGAAAAGTTGTGAGAGCGAAAATTACAACATATGCATATTCAGTAGTTTTCACAAGTTCGAATAAAAATAGATAGATAGATAGATAGATAGAGACAGACACATAGATAGACAGAGTTAGACAGATAGATAGATAGAGTTAGATAGACAGACAGATAGATAGATAGATAGACAGATAGATAGATAGACAGACAGATAGATAGGTAGATAGAGTTAGATAGACAGACAGATAGATAGATAGAGTTAGATAGATAAACAGACAGACAGACAGATAGATAGATAGATAGACAGACAGACAGACACAGATAGATAGATAGATAGAGTAGAGAGAGAGAGAGAGAGCATGTATATAGATGTGTTTTTTGTGTTTGATTAAATTTCTATTGAAATATTTATTGATTTATTGCATGTGTGAAATCCCGAAAATCTGTGATAGTAGCCTTACATATCACATATGCGTTTCCCTCCTTCTAACAATGTCCTTCTAACAATTAATGTAACTCCAATAATACTAACAATTAATGTAACAATTAATTTAACTCCAATAATACTAACAATTAATGTAACTCCTTCTAACAATTAATGTGTTCATATAGATGTGTGTGTATTCAATTTAATTTCTATTTAAATATTTATTGAATGAGTGCAAGTGCAGCTATGAAATCCCGAGTATGTGCTGTGAAAGTAGCCTTACATTTTACATACGTGTTTCCCTCCCTGTTACATGTTCTTTATATGTATATTTCTACTTTATTTATGTTCTTTTAATTTCAAAATTATAATGTGTGTAGCATGTGTTTATATAGATGTGTGTATATTCAGTTAAATTCCTATTTAAGTATTTATTGAATTTGTGCATTTGTGTCTCCCTCCCTGTAACATGCTTGTTTTCAGTTTTATTTATTTGTGTTCATTTACATTCAACTTTATTTTATGCCTTCGTGGAGGACTTCTCACATAAAATACAAAAATGACTTGAAAAAACTGGTCCGTATTTACGTGACACATGAGGGAAACCACGAAAACCCCATGCAACCAGTCTGTTCAATCATTATGCATAAATTTATAGCATAAAAACAAAAACTCAAAACTAAAAGTTTCGCGTTAAACAAGAAAGCATGCAATTTTTTAAAACATATTAAGCAATAAAATAATAAGCGATCAAAGCAAGTCTGACGCTTGTCAAGTTCACATAAAATATACAATCAATTAAAAAAAAAACACTCAAAACTTTAAAAGTTTCGCGTTAAACAAGAAAGCATATTAAGCACTAAAATAATAAGCGATCAAAGCAAGTCTGACGCTTGTCAAGTTCACATAAAAATGTACAATCAATTAAAAAAATACGCTGATAACTAAATTAGTTAAGCGTCAAAATATACATATATACAAGAAATTACACATGAAAACACTTTAAAAAAATTACATACTAAATTACAAAAAAATTTACAATCGGGTGGAAGTTGCGGTTGCTGATCGGTAACACTTCCCCAATGTCTTAAACAGAAAAAAGAGAAGTGAAACTATTGCCGCCGAACTTGCCAGCGCAGCACTCATCGCGTCCACCACCTCTTGACCACGGTCTTGCTTCACATGGTCTTTCAACAATGGGAAGAGGAGAGCCAGAATTCCCCGGATACATTTGATCCAAGCGAAAGCTTTGGGGATAGAACCTACGTTCTCGCCGATAACGACGGGTGTCAGAACTCCCCAAATCCCATTGCCGATAGCCATTAGACACAAAACGACCAGATAGTGAGCCACTGTCTCGCAACCTACGCCCAGCATTAAAATAGCGCCACCAACATTGGCCAAGGACGATAGGAAGTATTCCAAGTTCCTTGGAATCCGAGACTGCCCACTAAACAAGCCGTATGTGAATCGAACAAACACCGTCATCAAGAAGCAGTACGTATGTCCTATCGGGAACTCGTGTTCCTTCAGGCCATTCTCAAAAATGGACTTCAAGCCTGCACTGCCAAATCCGTGAGAAGCAATAGCCACCAACATCAACCACAACTCCCATTTCTTCAGGAGCGTCAACCCTGTTGAGTCCCTGATATTATGCCATAATTTCAAGGAGCTTGAAATTGGAACCTCGGGAATAGGAACAACCATTGCTGGCCTTTCTTCTTCCGTAGGATTCTTAATTTCCACTTCCTCGGAAATTTCGACAAAATAAAATTCGGGCCTCTCGAACGCAGCAGCAGCCAAACAGGTGGGCACATTCAAAACACATAAAACAAAAAATACCATGCGCCACCCGTACTCACCTAAAAGAAAATCGATTAAAAAAGGAAGCACAAATGCCCCCGTACACTCTCCGCACATATACAAGGCAAAAGCTAAAGGCTTGCGGGAGGTAAACAAAGCTGCAATTTGGGAGAGCAAACTTGCAACTATTAAACTGGAACCAATCCCGACCACAACTCCGTAACTGAAAACTAGGAAGCCAGCACATTTAGCAAAAGAACTTAAACCTAGTCCAATTACAGAAAAAAGTCCTCCTAGAAAAAGACTCAAACGAGGACCACATTTCAGTACCACAAGAGTAGCTATGGGGGAAAGCAAAAGACTCAAGTTGCTGACCAAAGATGGAAATTGGCCAAGGGTACTTGTCGAAGTGTCTGGAAACTCCTCCGTAATTGCAGCCTTTATTGGGCCAAAGCACGGAGGAAGCCCCGAAACTACAACCGACAGGAGGTAGGCTATAAACACAAATAGCCATGCTCGGTTTCCGTCCGGG